CCTACAGTTGAAAATAATACAAAAGAAACTTCCGGAAACGCCCTAAACAGGGCCTCTTTTGTACAGCCGATCTTGAACCTGCGATCATGCAGAGAAGAAACACTGAGCGCGGAGAGACATGACGTGACAGAGCATGAAGAGTACACCTACGAGCGAGGTCGTTTTTCTCTGTGCGGCGCTTGCAGTGGGCGTACATGGTCTGAGAAGGCGTGATAAGACCAAATACAAACCGTGCTTACCACGCACTTTCGAGCTGACAAACAATCTTTGCAGTTATGGGTTCTATTGCTTACAGTTTCATTCTGTGCGGATGCTGGGCCGCATCAGTGGGATGGGTCCGGCGCAGCGTAGCCACTCCATTTTTTCTTTCAGCAAGCGACGAGACTGTATCATATCCTTTGTATCAGGCTTTCCCGCAAATCGCTGCCGCTTACCCGCCTCAACAACCGGTGGAGAAGGGCTGCCGGCGCGGCAACGCTTCGCTTCACTGACACGCCCATTCGAACAAGACTTAATGGAGAGGGGAGAGGTGTGAGAGTTACTCAGCTTGCGAACCAATAATCGTGGACTGTACCTCTAAGTTGAACAATTCATTCTATTCTGTTGCTAGACGAAGGAATGAGAGAAGATCAAGGGGAAGGGGTGGTGGGACAGACTCCAGCTGTTGGGCCCTTCAGATTTACCGACGGTATCTGTCCAGACCATCCATTTCATATTTCTGATTGTTTTCGATATTTAGCGCCACTTGGTTGGAATATACGACCAGGAGTGTAATGAAAGCCGACATTCACCCTTCAGGAAACTGCCAAGTGCAAGAAGATTTGGGGTGAACAATGGCGTGTGTATCGATCCAGTTTTCCTGGAAAAGTGTGCGATTCTAGGGCGCTTACGGCAAACTATTTAAAACGCAGTAAGTGCTGAGAAATCGCTTCTTAAAATCCTAAGGGTGGTGGGCACGATTGCTGTAAGGGACGGTTGCTGCCAACGTCATTGGTGGAAGAGCTGCGACAGGGTGTTTGCCCTTACCCCACTCATCCCACCACCGACGTTGGCGACAATCGACCGCCCCCAGCAATCGTGCCCATTGCCTTAAAGCCAACATTCTGTGAATAATACAACACAATGCACACCATTTATGATGCAAAAAGTATAAACATAACGTTCGACCATAATCTATGTTCAAATCTAAGCTAATGAAACTAATATCTTGTGTCTGGTACTTTCGCGTCACCCCACTGGAATGCTTTCCACATGAGTGGTCCACCCCAGATTCCTGCACTGCCCGGATTTCCAACCAAGCCGTGTGTTCCTTCCTCAGAAACTCGATTGTATTGCCAGAACGTGCCTAACACCAACGCTGTCACTCCAACACTTATTCCGAGAGGGATGTTGTCTTCTAAACAAGAATCATTTGGATATCAGGGAAATTATGATTGGAGAACAATTCGTTCAAAAAGATATTCGCTCAAGAAATATAAAAGGGAAGTGTGGAAAATTCCTTCTCACTCATTGTAGCTAACGTCGCTCCTAATGCAGCACTGGCAATGAAATGGTTTTTGACGTCATCCTGAAATTTATACGTGTCGTTTGAGTGGCTTAATCGACTTCCTATAAAAACTGGTCCAAGTGGAACATAGTGAGACGATCTACCTTTATATCCTGAACTGCCTAGTAAAAAAAGACACATAAAGAAACTTTGATTAAGGTGGGGGGAGGGGTGGATACCCGGCGATGACAACGCTTCTATGCCCTTTTACTCCCACAGGATGGGGCTTGCACCCCGCGCATTGACAAGATTGGCCGTGTCCAAGTCCCGCATTACAAACAAAGTCGCGCTGCCACCACTGTGAACTATCTTAGTGCCTTTTTTACTAGGCAAAAGTTGCTGATGTCTAGCTAGCGCCCCCCCCCCCCTTTTTATGGGACCCTCGGAAATTCAGTGACCATAGAACGGAAGTACCAAAAAGGACTCCGACAGGGTTGTTAGCAAAGATCGAAAAACAAAGTGCTAATCCATCCTTTCCTATATGACACTATGCAGTTTTCTCAGCGTCACCGGAGTTTTCTTCGGAGAGGGGCGCGGTCGCGCGACTAAGTCTGCTCGTCTACACCCTCCCATCGTCTCAAACCCATTATACCTAAAAAGTGGATCCTTCTCACATGCGAGGTGGGTAGGTCCATGGACATCCACAGACGTAGTCATGCAGCACTTCGCCCTTATGCAGTGTTCAGACTTAGCAATGGCGCGCTTGACGCGCTACAACGCGCGTCGACGGAAACGCAGAAGGGGCGGATATTGCTCGGCGGCGATCGTTTTTACCCTGAAAGACTAAGAAGCAGAAGCATAATGGGTACGTGTTGCTGATCGCAGTCTCGTACTCTATATTTCCTAGAACACTAGCGACCGGCGCCGGCTGATACCCGTTTGTGGCTGCGTCTCCATCTATAATATTGGAGCGCTGTTGCAGTTGTAGCGTATCATCGCGAAGTCTGAACGCTGCCTTAGAAAGCGCCGCCGAAGTTAGAGGCTTCTACGTCCCTGAAATCACTTTATCTGCAACCTCTACTCTGTACACGACGCATGTAACAGGCTAAATAATGGCTACATAGCCTTCTGCATGCCCTCTCGCTTATGGTTGGCCGTGTGGTGTGTCTGTGGCGTGCGCATCATGTGGGTGGGCACATATAGAACGAACGTCAATTTATCAAAAGTCTCTAGCTTTGACCGCGCTCTTTCTGCTAGCGGAGGTACTTCCCTGTGGTTGCAGATTAGCTCATCTCGCACAGGGGTAGATATGACACTCAGATTATTGCCCAGTGTGTTGTTAAGAGCGCCAGAATGCGATCAGAATGGGCATGGCTCAGTCTCTCCGCGCGCCTACAACTCTGTCAGCGCGAAATATTACAAAACAACCGTAACATCCAAATCACCTTGTTGCGGAAAGTTGCAGCTGCAGAAAGAGAGAATCCCCAAGCGAAGGCTAGAATGGTTGGTGTAGGCGCTAGCTGGAAGTAGCGCTTGAGAAAATTCCTTGGAGTAAAGTCAGCGGCTGCTACTGAGGAAGTTGAACGAATCTCACACATCGTGTATGGTAGCACTGAAAAAAAGATTAACCCGCAAGAACTACGAGAATTGGGAATGCTGCCATCAACAGCAAGATGAGATCACATACTTAACATGGCTGTGTATTTTGCCGCAGCTAGTCCTTTTTTCTCATGGGCAGCCTCGTTCAGAGCGCTTTAATCGAAGAATCGTTGGTCCCCAATGTACCAAGAGTTCCTGTAACGTTCCCGTGACGAACAAGAGCTGCCATTTTCGAAACTGAAACCCATAGCTTACGCTCATCATTACGAAGCCGAAGCTGACAACAAATCGATTAAAACTCACTGTTTGTCAAGCCTCACTAAGCAAGGATTAACATCAAATCCTGGATGTTCCTTGCTTATATCGAATTTTTCGGCAATGTTTTTATACTGATGAGAGCTCTTCCAGATCTGGACTGGGGATTTTTTTATTTCCGAAAAAAAAGAAACCTTTACAGTATTTCTCAAACCATGTCTTGGAAATCCTCTAGTTTCCCTGGCTGGTCGCCTTTGATAGTGATGTTGGGATGACGTAACGAATCAAGGCCGATAGGTCCGGAAATGGACGTACCATCAGGGACCTGAATATACGCACATGTGAGCTACATTTCATAACCAGGTGATGGGAAGGGCGTGGCCGCGCACTCAAATTTGAAGATGGCGTAGGATGCATTTTTCAATGGATATATCCATTTGGGATAACAGTCATCATAACAATTACAGCTGTCGCAAAGGGTAATGTCCCACCTAAACCGCACCCTCCACCACGTTCCAGTAAGGCAGCCACACCCACCCCATCTTCGGGATATGGAGGTACAAATCGAAACCTTTAACGGTCAAGATGGTATAGAAACGAGATCTTAATGAAAGGTGAGGAGTGAGAGCACAATTGTTCAAGTTGAGTTCACCTTCGGATCGTAAAACTCCGGATCTTCTTCCTTATAACGATGGTGTACCGCGCGGTATTTCTGTTTCCGTGCGACATCGTCACGGACGCCGGCTTCCCTCCACCAATCCGGTCGACCTTTGCTAAAAAGGCAACGACTATCTCAGAGCTGCTATTCAAAGACACTAAAAAATGCACTGGAGGGTCAAGATACAGTTTTCAGGTTACTCTGCTTCTCTAGTGACTTCAGTCCATGTGCTATCGAATTACACTTCCACTGCTTGATTTGTTAACTCTTGTGAATGCTTCAGCAGTTCACATGCGGTTAGGGAGGGAACCGGTGCCTCTGGCCTCCTGAAGTTCACCCAGGCGGAAGTGAAAATTGACAACCCGAAAAAAAGAGGCATACGAGCAGCTTCAAAGAGCGTTCATACTTTCCTGCAGCGTCCTGGGCGCTTCATGCGTTCAGAGCTACTGGAAGTATATTATCGACCCAGCTCTTTGAGCGTCTCTCTAGAGTTTTCGGCGATAACCAGTACCATTAATTTCTTACACATTCTAAGTCGTTCAAAACGCTCGAAACGCTGGGGGCGCTCAAAGCGATGCTAGGTTGATAAACGCTTGAAGTACGTGATCTCTCCTCCAATAAAATAAAATAAAATGAAAAAAGTAAGTCTAAGGAGTTCTTTGCATTTGTTCCATTTGGAATGCCTGATTTACTTTATCATTTTTGCTAATTATTTAAGAGGCCTTCAATATTAGCGGCAGTAACTATAAAAGTCCATGATTTCACGCCTTTCTGGACACTGAAGCAAACTATTAGCAACTTAATTCGCTTTGTCGTTTGATATACTCTGTGAGACAGAGAAAAGAGTTATAAGGCTATATGTATTGCTCAACGAACTATCGAGGAGAACTCATAAAAGAGTTATGCAAGTAAAAAGCAGATATAAATTATACAACTAAGAAAGCAGCTCTGAACTCCCTAGTGCTAGACTGCGCACTACTCTAGAAACATGCAAGCAAAATAAATACCGAGTAATGGGAACTACAAGGCCTTTCCACGTGCTTCTCAAGTATGCTATTTGTAAAAAAAAAACTCCTCAGAAGGTACAACCGCCTTCATACTTTTGATTCGGGAGACGGCGATTCGAGAGGAAAGTGTAGATATCGACCTGGCGACTGCGGAGATTGAGCGATCCCACGATTTGGGAGACTCGGCGTTTTCGGCGAAAGGAGTGGGACGCAAATCGATTGTCGCCGGTCCCCAGCCAATGCGGAGATCCGGCGATCCAGCGATTTGAGAGACTCAGCGATCTAGCCATTTGGGACATCGCCTGATTGCTCAATCTCCGCAGGTGCCAGATCACACCTGCACTTTGTTCGTCGCAAATCTCCAGAACTGCCGAATCTCCCAAATCTCCAGAATTGCCGAATCTCCCGAGTCGCAAAGTATGAGCGCTGCCTTACCCATAAGACTGCGGGGCAGGCACAAATTCACGGACAAACTATAACTACCGGTAGGGGAAAGGTTCACGAAAAAAACAGGCGTAAAGCCTTACTATTCGCGGGTACTCCACAGTCCAATCCATGGTGGCCGTGGCTGCTTGTAGGTGGCAACGAGGGGAGCGCCATCGTCGTGACCCATGGTTCAACCTATAATAAATCGATTTAGTTGCTATGTTGACTGAAATGGCACAGATCATATTGAGTAGAAGAGTAGAAAACAAATAGATGTCTTCGAGGAAACAAAGAAAAACATGGAACAAGTGTGAGCAATTCAGTTCTCCCAAAAGGTGAAAGATAATGGTCTAAAGGCTACAAGAACCTATTGGACCGCATTCAGACTTCGCGACCGGATCGAGCGATTGAATCGCGTCAAACGGTGCACCGCAGCAACGGCACAATTCCTGGCACTGCCGTGCGGCCCAGTTTGAAACCTGCCGTTGCGGAGGTGCACCGCTTAGCGGTGGAGCGCCCCGGTGATGGCACGATCCAATCGAGCGATCCGATCGCGAATTCTGAACACCCTCTTATAGAGTACAGGTCACGATGGCACTCTTGTTGGGTGGTCCCCAGGAAGAGTCGCACTGGACGCTGCAGGGAGGGTCGCATCAGGCCACAAAAATATTTTGCGGCTGATTTTCCCTCCTTCGCACGCGCTATCCACAAGGCTGGGAGCGAGGCGCTTCTACTGGAGAGGGAGGAGGGAGTCGTATTTGCTCAACGCCTTGAAAGAATGAAAGCCCATGCAACTACTTTCTTGCCATGAGCGCAGTCAATAGTTGTTTGGCGATCCTCCCCCCCCCCTCCCTTCAAGATGGATTAGGAGGGGGAGACGCCCAACAAGGAGGAAATTCGAGGGAGTTTCGTTTTACAAAAAATTAAAGAGCGACAGGACGCATAGCAAAATCTCACAGAAAAACCTCATAATCTCCATGAAAGTAACCCTTGGGACCAGTTTTCCTCTTAAACTGAGTCTGAAACAGCAAATTCTTAGAACCACCCGTCTGTTTTTAATTTTTTCGGTCACTTCAGAAACAAAAATCACGTGGGATCATCAGAATTTTAGGATTTGAGACATCTGA